TTCCCCTTCGGCTATTTGGACTGAAACGCGACTTGGGGAAGCGTTTGACTCTTGCTGCGGGTGTTGTGGCGCATGCAGCGCCGCAGGGCCCGGTCCGGCTGAAGCAGGAGCAGTGCAGCATGTGGTCAAGCCGCTGCCCAGCCTTGCAGCCAGGGTGTGTGCCGAGCATCCCCCCGGCTGCTGCCTCAGGGAGTCTTTGCGTGCAGCAAAGGGATCAAAATTGGAGGATTTTCCCCCCTCTGCTTCGACAGTGCTACCAGCGGAGCAGGGTTGAGAGCGGCTCCACGGGGACCGGCTGTGGTGGCCGCTGACCCCTACCCACCATCCCCCCTCGGTTAATGAATACATGTGTCTCTCTTGGTGCAGCAGCCCTGATGGCAGCCAGGACAAACAGAGCTGCAATCACACGAGCTGTGCTCGAGGCCACGCACCAAGGCAAACGGTGCCATCAGCCTCTCATGGCTCCTGTCCCTGCACGGTGTCCCCAGTACAGGTTGTCCCCAGTCGGATTGCTGTAGCCCCCTCTGAGCACGGCAGGAAGCCACCTCCAGCCTCAGGCGTGCCGCTGCTGCGAGGCAGCTTCGGGCTGGGAGAAGGCAGGTTTTTGCAGGTGAGACTGCTTTTTCCTGACTGTTCTTGCTCTTTTGGAGGTTAGGAGCCCTCTTCTGCACTCACTTTCCTGTAGCATACAATAAAAAGTCAAACAGGAGTTTGCAGTTGTTGGGCAGAACTACTTCTAGTGCCATTAGAAATGTTGAAGCTTTTTATTTTATTTTTTTTTTCCCCCAGGGAAAAACACCAAACTTTTCTCCTTTTCTTTGCCTTCCCACACCTGCTGTTCTCCTTCCCTTTGTTTTGCCTTTTTAGAAAGGGGAAAAAACGTCCAAAATCTTCAAAATCTTTTCTTTTTTTTTTTTTTTTTCTTTTGAGGAAAATGGCAGCTGGGAAATGGTGAGTCAAGAGGTCCATGGCCTTTTCCTCTTTCAGACGCTTGACAGCCGTGTCACTCCAGGTTAATGATTGACTCTTCCTGCACCTTTGTTCCCCTCCTTCTGCCTTGGGTTGACCTTTCCTATCCCCATGCCAGGACTAGGAGCAGGCGTGCTCTCTCACTGTGCGTCCCTCCTGGGTGTAGTTTTCTGACAAATGCTTTAATTCATAGAAGTCGTCGTCCTCCTCCTCCTCCTCCACACCATGTCCTGCAGGAGAGGATCCACTCTTCCTCTAGGCTGGGAATCCATAAAGCCAGCTTGGCAGTTTATTCGTATTAAGTCAACTTAACCATGACTCCAAAGCTGATCCCTTGGAAAGCCCAACCAATTTGGTAGATAGTGGAAAAATTAGCAATTTCATTCTTTTTTGGTTTGGTTGTTCAATCATTTTTTTTTTTTTTTCCTGGCATTCTCTGTTCTATTTTGTTTCAAGTTAGCATGAATTGAAGTTTCAATTTAGCATGAATTAACAGCCCCGCTTAGACAGCTTTAGAGGCTCCAGCAACTGCATGCTGTTGGCTTCCGAACAGGCGTACTCCCAGCTGAACGGTTCTCCTGTCTGGAGGCAGGGATTTGATGGATGAACTCACACAATGAGACTTAGATGAAAAGTGTAGACATGGATTGGGATTTGCAAACAGACTCCTCCGCACTTGCCTGCGCTTTGTCCTTCTCCTGCAGATGTCCTCTGAAACATGCTCGCCCCATTTATTAGAAGGGGAGAAAGCGGTCAGCCACTTTGAACGGGATCCTGCCCGATGCCGGGGTGGCTTGTCCCCGGGGCGGTGCTGCCAGCTGCCCTCTCTGCAGGGGAATAACTGCGGTGCTGGGGTGGAAGGATGGGGTGAGGTCAGGCAGCCTGGTCCTACCTGCTCTTCTTGACAACACGGGCATTGCTGTGCCGTTTCGGAGAGGGGTGTGTGTGCACATGTATGAGAGATGCTGCTTGTCCCATGGGCTGGAGGCGGCTGCTGCTGCCAGTGATCCTGGGTTCCATCTTGCAACAATTTCAGTCCAACACTTTATTTCCTAATTTAGGAGCTCTGTGCCCACAGCTCCTCCTCATGTTACAGCTCTGGGCTTGCTAAAGTCCAAACAGCGCTAGTCGCTCATCGATACAACCCCTCGGCGCTGGCCCTCCCTCCCGTGCAACGCTGCATAAAAGAGCCTTCCTCTTTCAGGGCAGCTCCTCTTGAGCTGCCGCTCCTCTCCACGAGAGATCACCTGGGTACCAGGGAAAGCTCTTCCACCCTGCCCAAAACTTTTATGCACGTACCTGGGGGCTGCACGGGAAGCAGGTGAGCAAGGATCAGCAAGAAGCCCCCCTCCCGGGTTATTTAAGGAACTGGGGGAGTTGTGCTGGGGAGGAGGTGCCCTGCTCCTGTGGGGCATTGCCGGGGGCTGCAGACCCACCTGGACGAGCGGGCCCGGCCGGTCTCCACTCCACCACAGCCACCTTTCCCCGCAGGCAGGACAGCA